TTCGTCATGGGGTGCTGTGCCCGGAGTGAACATCCTGCAGCATATGCACAGGGAGCCTGACCGGAAAGATGTCCTCAACCCTAGGAAAATGATAGTTAATCCAAGGAAGGTGATTCAGACTTCAGTCCACTCTGTCCTGAGGGCCTACACTGACAGTGTCAACGTTCCTTTGGACATCGCCCTTGTTTACCACTGCCGGGTACCGCTTCAAGAGAAGCTTCCCAGAGAATCGCTGATATGGGATACGACGCTCTGGAAATACAGCTCCTCCTTAATCTTGAATGTTAACAATGTGGTACTGCAAACTGTCTTTTAGGGCAACACTAGAGCTATGGTAGAAAAGTTGACAGATCCCTAGGGGACAGGTAGTAACCACCATGATAATAGATAACTGCATGTAAAGATTTCCATGCAGATCTGCCAGAACAGTCCCTGAACATACCAGGTATAAGCAAATGCATTTTAACCATGAACTGAATTTGTGGTAACTGTTTACAATATACAATAAAATATGAAACCATAGTAAATAATATTTCAATGAGTTCTCTAATGCGATAAATACTAAGACACTTGGTATAGTGAGGAAGAGGCAGACCTGGTCTTCTCCATACACTTGCAGCTGTTGAAGTCCTGAATTGGGACATAACACTTATAGCTCCATCATGACAAATCTGCAACTATCTATCTGTGATGGATAAAGAGCAAATGGATGGAGCTTGTGGTGCTCAGTATGGACAAATGTTCCCTTACATTTGATTACTACACCCAGGCTTAGATAGCAGCCACCCTGGCAATAAAAGAAGGAACTCTGCAAGTAAGGCTCAGATCGCAGAAGCTGAGGAAGCAAGCAGAGAAAGCAATGCACTTGCAAGACCTGGCATTTCTTTTTACTTAAATGCTTTGCAGTAGAGTGGCAGCCAGTTGATGATGCTGAAATCAGGCACAGGGAATGGACGCTGTTCTGGAAACACCAAAGCTGGACTTGTTTCCAGTAAACAGTTATAAATTTGGATAAACTGATTATCATGTAAACTTTCCAAACATTTTCAAGCAGATGGGTTGAATTATAACTATAGTAATTTAGCTACTGAAATCTGTGCTGGCAAATAATTCCTAGTTTGCATTTAAAAACCTGAGGAAAAAAATATCTAAATTTGATTTTTCATATCAAAATAGAGTAAAAAATTAAGAGAAGTGTGAAAGTAACAAAGCCCATGTTCTTGTAAACAGCAGCATTTATACAAATGCTGGTAGCTATGTTTTGTTACACTAAAAATAGTTCACTTTGTCTGAATAAGCAATAAAAAAGTAGGCTGTGGATGAAGGTGTGGAGGGGGATCTAATCTGAAAGTTAGAAGGCAGGCTTTCAGGGTGGCCACCCGTAGCTGCTCTGAATTACCTAAGAGGAGAAAGTTGATTTTTAAAAGCTTTTCAGGTATAAAGGCTGATAAGCGAGGAGGCTCACGTTAGCAGAGTGAAGACTGTTCTTAGCTGGAAGAAAGCAGAGGCTCTTAACTGCTTATCACGTAATTTTCCACAATCTTGAATCCTTTCAACTTGAACTGTTCTTTCATTTGCCAGAATCAGACATGAGCTGGATACCAGGTCTTGTTCGTTGTAAACTGGGTAAGTTCTATTTTGTTGCTGCTTTACTTCCAAGTTGAACTGCATGATAAATCCCTCTACCTGGCAGGCAAACCTTTTAAAATTCAACTATACCCAGACTTTTCCTTGTACATATGTTTGACTCTGCCTCCCCTGCCACTTATCTAAAGGTGACTGAGCCAAAAACTAAATGGAGACTTTCCTAGCCTGAGTGGCAGTTGCAAGCTGCCTGTAAAACAATCCATTGGATGCATCTCTGGTGTCCCCCCTTAGGAATCTTTTAGTTATGGAACACTTTGATAACTTAAATGCCTAATGTCCACTGATGTTTTTGTACAAGAATACTTCCTAGAATCTGTAGCTCATTCCTTGTCCACAACCCTGGGGTAGGGAGGGGTCATCATGTTAAGATAATGGGGAATACTGAATGTCTGAAATAAAGAACACAGTCAATCTTCAAGCAACCTTATATTTAGAAGTTGTGTAAAAATAGACACTAGGGGGCAACTTTATTTTTCAAATGTAAAAATGCACTTCTAAAGTGAGTCATGTTGTGATGGATACAGTTTTTAAATACAAGTCAGGTTCAGTGATAGTACTTGTGATGGATGCCTGCTATTAAATATTTACTTAATCTTCTCTCTAGCTTAGTCAAGTCTAGTGAAGCTGGTCATATCAGACTACAATTGCCAATTCTACCCTTTAAGTTTTAACACTCCTTTTTCAAGGGCTTATGTCCATGGTATCACAGTTTTGGCTCCCACTTTCCAATCTAGTTGGAACAGGTAGTTCCATACCTATTAGCATATGACCATTACTTTGCAAGGGAAGATAATTTTTGGATACCATCTGCTCAGTGTAGGAGTTCAAATTTAGTAGCCTATGGGTTAAGGGTGGCCTTGTTCCCTTCCGTTGTTTTTTTTCCCTAAATCCCTGGAGCACATTGTGCTCTGACCCTCAGACTGTGGAAAAACATTAACAGTGCATTGCTGATAAAGCCATGCAGGGTGGACTTCTAGAGTTATGCAAGCATTCCATGTCTCAGTCTCTGAAAGAAGACCAAGACATTGCCCAGCATGTTCATTCAATAGTAGTACAATGGCACAAACATTAAACCAGCAAGATGGTTTTATTCACATTGTGCTATCAACTTAAGTGTCCACAGAAAGACTGTTTGCTTCTGTCCCAACTTGACCTCAACAAGAGAAGTGCAAGACACCAGTCACAAATTCTCCAGTTCACATCTGGCAGCTATTAGGTCAAATAATAACTGAGAAGGTGGCTCAGTCTGACCCAGGGATAGGAGTATCACCTCCACACAGCCTCGGAGAGGCTGCTGCTGTCATCCAAAAGTAATCTAACAATGCTTAAAAAACTCCACCTCATTTCTTGATTCCACGGAGTCATGGTTTAAAGCTCGGATAAGGAAAAGTCAATGCAACTAAGAAGCTAATATTCAAAGGGCCATTTTGGTTTCACTTGAGGGAACTGTGTGATTGTGCACTGCCAACCAGCCTTTGCTGCTGCATACACGAGACTAGAGTGCTAAGATAACATCATCTCCTTTGTTTTATCCAAAAATAGGGCAGAAGTCTGAGAGCAAGTACTATAGACCTGATCAATTAGATTTGAGTGATTTTTAACCTTTATCATCCTATACTTCAGAGCTCAAATATAGATACTTAAACATGACTACAGACAAAATTCAGTGGTGAATATTGCTAGCATGCTGTGTTGCATTATGTCAAAAAAACCCTTGAAAAATGCCCTAAAAATAAAAAGGTAAATGATTGTGCATTGCATGATGATACCGTTAGGTGTGCAACTTTGGTTCATGCAAAGTCTTCTGTCATGGACAAACTGCTGATAGTTCAAGGATTCATGAAGATCCTGGCATATGCCATCTTTTCAGCCATGTTCTTTCCATAATACCAAATGAATACTGTGGTCTGGCATACTGGTGGCAAAAACCAGGCCCATGTCATTTTGACCATCTAGTCCATTTAACCAGGAGATTTCACCAGCCAAGAAGCTGGAACCTCTCTTTGACTTTCGATATTCTGGCAGAGGCCAGCGGCTAATCAGTTTTTCTGTCCTCAAATCCATTATATACAGGTAGCTGTTATCAAACAGCAGGGCAAATATCTCTCCAAAGCCCAGCAAGGACACATTTGCAAAGTCAGGAGGCTTGATAACCCTGGGGAGGGAAAAACAAGTATTTATCTCATTGTACATTAGCAAGCCTGCCTTGCATGAAACTGCACTTCCAACATACAAGTGTAAAAAAGGGAATGAAAACCTTTAAAGCAGGGGTAGGCAAACTTTTTTGTCTACGGGCCAGAATGACCCATCCCAGGTCACAGCAAGGCAGGCAGGTACTAGGACCATGCTGGAGCTGGCATTCGTCTCCCCTGTCCAAGGGAGATCACCTACCACCAAATGCTGACAAAGTCACACATCTGTTAGTGGGATCCAAATGTTCCATGGACTGTGGGCTGCCAACCCCTGATCTAAACAAAATGGTCTGACCCAGTATGGCATTTCTTATGTTCTCACATTGATTTTCTAGGTGGATGCACAGTATTAGTGTCCAAATTTAGAACTTAGGATAAATCCAAACTACATCTTGCTGGAAGTCTACTATCCATCCAGAAAATCTATTATGTAATCTGAAGTTGCCATGGCTCAACTGTTGTTCAGATTAAAGAGCACAAACTACTCGGAGTACTTGTATTTGAAATAAGGAAGAAAAGCACAGCATAGACTTATCGCATGATTACATTGCTATCTTGCAAAAGTCAAACCTGAGAACATAATGCCATGGGCAAAAATACAGCTCATTTGTAACAAATGTTTAGTTTGGAGTGTCAACATGAACCACCTAAAGTGGCAGGTGGTTCAAAGTAAAGTTACTCTTTACTTGTTACTAAACACCCAAGATTATATACACTGAACCAATAGGCCCCTGTTCTCCCTATGCTTCAAGGTCGAGTCACTTTTGGGGGCTTAAACCTCTGGCTGATAGGTGGTAGTGTTATTCCTATAGCAAAGGCCTGTTCTTGGGAAGCTTTGATCCTGGCTGCAGACACTGCTCTGGGTCTGAACATTCAGTTGAGAACAGGGTCCAAATAAAACCCTACCCTGCTGCCTGACCACCACCCACAGCTGGCAGAAGCTTACTACATCATCCCACGGATGCTTAGGGGCCTGCAATAAGGTCTCAGGTTCAGGAATGCCAGCAGAAGGGGACAGTATCTATATGTTCTTATACTACTAAAAGACTCCTTAATATGGCCAGGCGAGTTGCTACAAACCAGCAAAGTACTACTGTTCTTTCCCATGTGAACTTGTCAGCTACCAAATCTTTTTTTCACAACTAAACTGTAAGTGATTTAGGTTGAAAAACTATTCAAGGTGTGAAAGGGTAAGAGAGTCCTGGTGCCAAGACAAAAACTAACAATACATTTATGTAGCAATACCAACTTCAGCTTAGCAGTTTTTATCCTAGTTTAACCAGAAGTGCACATTTGAAGAACTTTCATGAGGGTTGTTAGTTATGTAGCTGATGTATAAGGTATTATGTGGATCTCAAAAGCTATACAGGTACTCTTGCTTGTTATCTTTCAATACTAAACTTCATGTACATGTTTGCCTCAAACTGAAACTTTTACCTGAGAATATCATAGCTGGCAAAGTCCCACTGGTACAATCCTAGAGCTGAACTGCACACGATGTATTTGCCATCAAAGTGCAGTCGGGGCTGCAGTGAAATGCTGCGATCTTCAGACACCGACAGGGTTTTTAAGCATTTGCAATTTATTTCCCTTCCAATAGGCCAAATCTACAAATCAAAAACAAAACAGTGTGTCAGACTGCAAAGGACACAACTTGTGAGTTGCTGCACAAACACAAATGCAGGGATCACTTGGCCCATACTGATAAAGTGGACATTCTGAACCAGGAACAGTTAGTGAATTTAGACTAGTTATACATATTTTCAGAACTTTCCTCTGGAACTAAAGCTCCTGACTAGACAGCACAAAGTACCGTGAGGCTCTGATCAGTTGGCTCTTCAGTTAACAGAAAATGTTATCAAAGTCTGTGGCATTTGTATTTCACCAAATGCCTTGAATCAGTCTTTCCTGACATCAGGAATATGGCAACACAGGTGTCATCTATCTCTGTCAAGCATGGTACAAATACTGTAGTATTTGTCTTTTGAAGTGCTGTGTGCTATCACAATTCAAACAGAGGTATGGGTAAGTTGTGGCTCTTTGGCTAACAGTGGATCCTCATGATCATCAGGACAGTGTTATTAACTAAGTCATTTCAGATTTTTCTTATTTTCAGAGGGACTTGCTCTGCAATACTGATACAGTATGTCTTGCTGAAGTTTTTTTAATGTCAGAGGATTTTATTTATATTGCCCCTTTGTGTTCAGATAAAGTGAATATGAGCAACAACATGTTTTTCATCAAAAATCTGGCTTAGCCATTTAATTTTGTATTGCAGTAGTAGTTCCAATAAGCAGATGAACACTCTGCAACTTCAGACTACTTAGAGCCCTCCACCTCCCATAAATGCTTGCATATGTCCTTTGCTTGAGGGAGTAGGGACACTGGGCAACCACTGCCTGTGCTTGCTCTTTTGCATTGCTGCACACCAGGGTTGCCACTCAAGCAAGCCCAGCCATCCCAGTACTAGTCGTTTATTTTGGTCCAAATGTGTGAAGAAAAACATCTGTCAGCCATTAGAGGCATTTGTCTTGTATACGTGTTTGCAGAGTATACAGAGTATACAAGGAAGTCAGTGTGCTTTACCAGCTCCAGTAGATGCCCTAGGTGTATAAAGCATTCTATGCCCATTTGTCATGATATCCATTTAGACAAAGTACATACCTTGATTTCATATTTATCTGCACTCAGAAGAATATAATCCCCTGGACTATGCATGAGAGATTTGACCTTGCACTTCTGCAAAACCACCTACAATTGAAAAAATAATTAAATGGGACTAAAATTCATACAACAGGTATTTTGATGGCAAATTACCTACCCAAATCTAGTCTTAAATTTCTCTTGTATATATTTCAGTTTTTCAGTTACTTGGTATGTCACTTGTTGCTTTGGAGAGCAAGCGCTCTTAAAGAAGAACACTTAGGGTATGCCCATACTGCAGTCACAGCAGTAAATGCAGCATAGTGTAGAAATGCACTAACTTCTTGGCAGCGTAAGTCAGCCTAGACTGAGCTCTGTGCTACTGCAGTTAGACTTCTATCAACGCCAGGCAGCAGAATTAGATTTAAAACTAGTTTGCATCTACCCTGCACAGCAGAAACCTTTGTGACGGCAGTGTAGGTGTATGTACCATTAGTCAAGACACAGAAACTGAACACCACACTATTCCTGTTCCCACTGCTAACAACTCACTGTGCCAGACATTCCACTTATGTTAGACATCAGCCCAGAAACCCCTTGAACAGCAAAGGACAGAGTTTGGCATTTCTGTATCCCCATTTGGGGGCATTGTGTTCATTTTCCTTTTTATTTTTTTGGTGTGCCAGTCACAGAAAAGCTGCACTAAATAAGATCACTGGCTCTTTTGTTATACTTACACCTTAGAAGTGGCTTGGATTCAGTACCTTGCATTTGTTCTTTGTACCAAACCCTGAAACATAGCATCATTCTATTCACTCTGCAATAGGAACTGCATGTTTAAGGGGAAGGTGGGGGGAAGGTCCCAGTATAGCTGTGCAAGTGCCTCTTCTGCTGAACAGTTATTTTATAATATCAGAGTTCTTTGATGGACCATAACCCACAAACTTATGCTATCTCTTCTCTGCAGGGCTACTAACAGTCCACATACCTCTATAAAAGCATAATGCTCGAGACACGGTACAGGTATGTAACAAACTTGTTTCACAAATGCTTTCCAAAATACTGTTAAAATCAATCCAACCCTACCTTTGTGACCCATTCTGTGTGTCCAGTAAGTGTATTCAGGCACGTTCCTGTTGATAAGGCCCATACTTTCACAGTGAAATCTGCCGAGCCACTGACCAGGATATCAAGTTCATCATTGTAATCCACACTAAAAACTACAAGCAAAAAGGATTTGATATAAAAAAAAAAATACTGGCTCTTCCACAGAACCTACTCCATGCTGTGACATATGGAGCTTATGGTGGAATGTGCTGCCTGTCATGCTAGGTTTCCACTGCTGGACTAGACACTAGCTATTTAGTCATCTTGCTAGAACAGCACAAGGTGCATCATGCCCATGGCCCAGCATGGCTACGCCTTGACTTTGCCAAGGAGAGGTGCTAAAGCAGCATCCCTACTTCCAAGTCTACTTTGGCAGTGTTTTACCCCAAAAGAGCCAAGATGGAAAGCAATCCAAAATACTGAATAAACATGCTTAGACCAGAAATAAAGGGCTCAGTATGCAATGGTCTAAGACTCTAGGTGAAAACTTGGCTTCAAACCTAATTTGACTAGTGGACTTCAGTTGGAGAGCTTGACATACCTGCACCCGTGTGCCCTCTGAAGTGTTGCGTCTTGGCCCCTGAGCTCCATTCCCAACAGGCTACTGTGTTATCAAAGGATCCTGTCACAAGCTTTTGTTCATCAAACTTCACAGCAGCACAAGTGTGTGTCTGGATGCCATATATGCACTGCCCTGTGCTCACGTCCCACAGCTTTGCAGACAAGTCATCTGAACCTAGAATTTGAAATAACAGGCTAGGGGGCAGCATGGAACTGGCATCTCTTCCCCAGTATAATATTGGGTTTCACCCAGTTACATCTTAAATGTCATGTTTTTGACCAAGTAAGTAGGTGCTCTACCTTGCCCAAATGGGAGAGTAAGTGTTCTGTTTTCAGTTTGGGTGCTAGGTACCTGGCCTCCCAGCATCCTACATCCACTTCTTTAACACAACTTCCAGAAACTCCTGTCCCAGTTGAGAGCAAACCCTCCTATATGCCAATGTCTTCCGGAAGTGCACAGGGATGTTCTGGAATTGAATAGACTGATTGAACAGGCACAGCTTTGGAAAGCCCCAGACTTTGTTGCACTCTGAAGCAGCTAGGACTTTTAGTTCCACTTCAGATAGGACAGAGGCATCCAATCCCTTTGAAAGGGAAGATGGGAATGATAGTTAGCTTAGCTCCTTCCTTTTCACCTGCCAATTCCAATTCCCTCCCCGTCTTCTCCAAAAATACCTCACAACCAACCTACACTGTCTGCTGACCCACCTGTTTTGGAGAGCCAAACAAAGCCTACTACACCTGTTTTCAACACTAATTGCTTCAGAGGAAAACAATGTGCTCCTCTTCATCAGTTTTAGTCCTGCTGGCTAAGGAAGTGGAAAACTAGACCAGAGAAGAGAACCAAAGCTACTGTGGCAATTTTAATATACTGATCAAACCCCAGAGTATGGTCAGTCCTCCCAACTTATTTGACTAGTGTCACGCTTGTTATGGTTCATAACATTAAAGAGTAAGTGACAATTATAGTGATGGGCTCCTGAATTGTTGCTGGGAAAATTTCTTTGCTGCATGCCCTAGCAGTAAATGTTAACCTCCTTACTCTTCACTCTTGTAGTTTATGTATTTAATATAGGAACAAACACAATAGGAATTGTATCTGATCATTCTATAGAAATGTAGCCTGACATTCCGAGATGCTTTTGCTAAATTCCATCATTTTGTGGCTGCAGTCTTTATGAAGGAAGGGGCAGACAGCACCACCAGGGAGTGATACAGGCAAGCAGTCACGGTAAGTAGTTTATAAGCCTTCAGACAGACATTTAAGGTACACAGAAGACTGCACTGGCCTACAGACATAATGCACATCATAACAGTTTGTCATGTTCCACTGTGTGAAACAGACCATCCTCCACCCTGCCCCCTTTATGGTGACTGTATGTTATAGACACCAAGTGGTTAACTTAAGCAAGGCACTCGAATGTGGAGAGCATTCCCTTTCTGTGGGGCAAAACAGCATTTTTGTATTCCTGAATGCAGTTGCCATTTCCAAGCACTATATGGAGTTCTGTTAGTTTTACCCTCTTGTTGAACATAATTACAAGGGCATTAAATCTCCTTGCTCCTTTTTATTTACTGAAGGAACTGGTGAACATAGAGATGCCTCCATGTTCATTGTGGATACCTTTAAGCGACTTACTTAAAACAACACTATCAGTGTTAAGTTGATAAAGCACATCATAACTGCTATGAAGTAAACAGCAAGATGGGGAAAATGAAAAATACTTAAGCATCATAAAATATCCAGAGGTTCCTACCTGTACAAAGAAGTCCATCTTTATAGTAAAGTGCATATACTCTGGCACTATGTCCAATTAAAGAGGAGGTCTCAAAGGCTTCATGGTCCTTCAGTTGCTTCATCCTTAAAATAGCCTTCAAGTAAACCTTCTTCCAGTGCAGAGGGTCCTGAACAGAGTCATCTATCTGCCAGCCCAAATTCTTACAAGCTGTCTGCCACACCTCTGTACAGGCACTTATAACCTTATTCCACTGCTTAGAGACGAGGCAACATGTGAGTAAGGTCTGAGGATCGAGCCATTTTAGCAAATAAAAACTGAGTTCCAGTGGAAGAAGTTTGAGGAAGTCCCTCTTGAGAAGGATCTCTAGGTTATTGGAGAGGTGCCTGAGCTGGACTGCTCCACTCAAGCTAATCAGGTGATCCAGAGTTTCATTTTTCTGCAAGTCCGTCAGAGAAAGAAATGCAACAGAAATGTTATCAAGCCATGCTTCAAAGTCCTTTTTCTCCATAAGGTTATGGAAAAATCTACCTGTGGTACATCAAAATATTGTATTAGTTCTATTCAAAAAGAAAATGTCATCATCTCATCTTTAATTATTGGTTTATCTGTACTCTCAAGCCCAACACCGACTGTTTGAGTCACTGTGTTAACTATATTGTTAAGTATTCAACACCTGCAACATCACGTTTGAAGATTATGTATTGGCTGTTTCACAAAGGACAGCCATCGCAACTTAACACGCATATCATCGGAGACGAAGCATTAGCGTTGTTGCAGCACTGAACGCTAGTCCCGCCTCGCGAAGTCTAAAGCCTAAACCGACCGTCTGAACCGCAACCCCTGAACTCCTCAGAGCGGCAGTGCCAGAGGCAGGTTGTTGGTGCGCGCTCGTGAATACATCCACGCTGCCGCTCCCTTGCTCTCATACAAGAGGGAGGAAAACCCTGCGGTGCTGGGGCACAGGGTGGGATGGCCAGAGTAGGCCTGGCTGAAACACCCCAAGTTACGGGGCCCTGCACCGCTCCGGACACAGGAGGACGGAGTCCGCCCGGGTGCTGCCGAGGGCTCGTCCTGTCCCAGGTGCTGGCATGCTGCTGCAGGGCCCCTGCCCTGCGGAAGCCCCAGCGCCGTGACCGCAGGGGAAGGGCCCGGCAAGCAGCGCCGTGTTCAAGCCAGCCGGCGCCGGGGCCCTGGCGCGGACACTCCGTGCGCGGCCCCACACATGCCCCGCGGAGCGCTCCCCTCCCGGCCCGCTGCCCCGGAGCGGGCCCCGGGCACCGACCTCAGGCAGGCGGAGCAGTGCGGGGCGGGCCGCG